CATGGGCGATGGGGATGGTGGTATTCTAGCCCGGCACACACACGGCACGACAATTTCTAAAACTGAATTGTATTATCACTTTTTTTTCTTTCTTATTTAAGGATTTCGTCAGTTATTAAATACAGTATACTTTGACAGGATGCTGCTGGAGCATGCTGAAAATTTTTGGACCAAAGGTATTGTAAAGTAGATACATCACTAATGTCATGTCACATCACTTTTGACATATCATTATATAGCGCCAATTCGTAAGAAAAATAAAACCGTTCATTTAATATCACCGACGTTTTATTTAATAAATACAACGTTACATGGTGTCAAGTGTGGGATATATTAGGTGAGGAAGTTGTAAAATGGCCATGAACGACGCATTATCTGGAATAAAGCCGCCAGCTAACCTACAAATTGACTCGGAAAAATCAACATGCTGGAAAAAGTGGTTACAACAATTTGAATAGTATGCCACTGCTATTCAATTAGATAAAAAGCCAGCCGAGGTCCAAGCCGCAACATTTATGGCTGTGATAGGCTCGGATGCGATCGAAATATACAACAGTTTCAATCTTTGCAACACGGACAAAAATAACCTGCAAATTATCAAAGAAAAGTTCAAAGACTATTTTGCACCGAAGACAAACATATCTTTCGAACGGTATATATTTTTCAAAATTGAACAAAATGAAGATGAACAATTCAACGAGTTTTTAACGAGAATAAAAACGCAAGCAAGCAAATGTGAATTCGACACGTTACTTGACGAAATGCTGAAAGACAATAGTATTTGGCATTAGATCCAATCAAGTAAGAGAGAAATTATTAACTGAAGATAAACTAGACTTGACAAAAGCAATAACTATCTGTAAAACGAGTGAACAAGCTTCCAAACAACTTGATGAGTTTGAAGGTAAAAATAAATCAGAAAAAATCTTAGCAGTGAAATATAAAAGTGCTCAAAAAGAAGTAAACAAGAGTTTAGACTGTAGAAGATGTGGTACAAACCATAAACTTAGAGGTGCCCAGCTTTTAATAAAACATGTACTAAATGCAATAAAAATGGTCATTTTGCTAATATGTGCTGCACAAAGAGGAAATATAATAATAAACAGAAAAATAGAGTGAATGCAGTAGAAGAAAGCTCAAATTCTGAAGATGATGTGTACATATCAGCTATAAGTACCGGAAAAAAGAAAAATTGGACAGAAAATATACAAGTTGGCAATGTGAAGATTACAGCGAAACTAGACACAAGAGCAGAATGTAATGTCTTACCAAGACACTTGATGGACAAAACAAAGGCAATTTTGAAACCAAGCCGAACAAGAAATTTAATAAGTTATACAGATGATAAAATGGCAGTTATAGGTGAAACAGAGCTACTATGTCAATTAAAAAAATGAAGAAACAAATATAGTGTTCAAAGTAGTTCAAGAAAAAGTCACTCCAATATTAGGACTTGATACCTGTGAAAAATGTTCAGACGATATATTTGAAGGAATAGGCTGTTACAAGGATTATGTGTATGATATTGACCTGATTGAGAACCCAAAACTGGAGATTAAACCGTCAAGAAGAATTCCACATGCTATTAGAGCTGAGGTAAAACAAGAACTTGACAGAATGGTAAAATTAGATGTCATAAAACCAGTTACAGAGTCTACACCTGCTGTGAGTCATATGGTAATAGTCAGACAAAAGGACAAAATTAGAATCTGTATAGATCCATCAGACGTAAACAAAAATATCCTCAGACGCCATTTCCCGCTAACCACCATAGAAGAAATTTCAGCTGACATTCAAGGTTCTAAATTCTTTGCATTATTAGATTGCACAAAAGGATTTTGGCAAATCAAACTGTCAGAAAGAACACAAAAAATATTGACGTTTGCTACCACATAGGGAAGATATTCTTTCAAAAGACTACCATTTGGTGTGTCATCAGCACCAGAAATATTCCAAGAGATATTAACAAATTTAATCGGTAAATTCAAAAATGTCAGAGTATCAATCGACGATATTTTTATACATGCAAAAACTAAAGAAGAATTACACAAAACTGTTAGTGAAGTTATTGAAGTACTAAAGAAATCTGGATTCAAACTAAACAAAAGCAAGTGCATTTTTGAAGCAATGAAAATTAAATCTCCATACAGTTTGGATGTAAAAAGTTTCATGAATATGTTTATGGTAAACAACTGACAGTGGAATCTGACCATAAACCACTTGAGACAATCTTCAAGAAAAACATACAATCAGCTCCAGCGAGGTTACAAAGAATAATGTTCAACTTAGCACCATATTCACCTAAGGTCATATTTAAAAAAGGCACTGAAATACCCTTAGCAGCCTTTGTAAGTCGAGACTGTGATGCATCAAACCTGAAATATGAACCAGAAGAAAATTTAAAAATTGCAGTTATATTACCTATGTCTTTAGATGCTAAAGAAGAATTAATTAATGCTACTAAAGAAGATCAACATTTACAATTACTTCTTAAGACAATAATGCAAAGATTTCCAGAAAACATAAAAGAACTACCTACAGAACTGCAGCATTACTTTAACTTCAAAGAAGAACTAACCTATATGAAAGGAATTATCTTCAAAGGTGATAAGATTGTAGTACCTACATCACAAATCCCTAAAATGTTAAAGAATATTCATCAAGGACATCTAGGTATACAAAGTTGCTTAAGAAGAGCCCGACAATTTCTTTACTGGAAAGGACAATATTATGATATAATAAAGCTAGTCACAGGTTGCTCTGTCTGTGAAGAAACACAAAGAGACAATATCAAAGATATAGTACTAGTTAAAAAGATTCCTACACTTCCATGGCAAATAATTGCATCAGATTTATTTGAATTAAAAGGAAAAACTTACCTTGTAATATGCGACAGCTACTCTGGATACTTAGACTTTCAACAGCTAAAAGGTCAGTCATCATATGAAGTCATTGAACAACTTAAAAGATGGTTTTCTACTCATGGTGTACCAGAAGAGTTACAAACTGATAATGGAACACAATATATGTCTAGAGAATTCAAGATCTTTCAAAAAGAATGGAGATTCAACCATGTCACGTCTAGCCCACATCACCACCAAGGCAATGGACTTGCTAAAAGAGCAGTACAAACAGCAAAAAACATACTGAGAAAATGTAGCATTGACAAGTCAGATGTTCAACTTGCTTTATTGAACTGGAGGAATACCCCACGAAATGAAAACTTAGGTTCACCTAACCAACGTCTCTTCAGCAGAATTACTAGATCTCCAATACCTACATGTGATAATCAGTTAAAACCAAAAATAATACAAGGAGTCCCAGCTGAACTACAAAGATTAAGAGAGAAACAAGCTTATTACAGTAATAAACACACTACAAGACCAGTAAATTTTGAAATCAATGATAAAATCAGACACAAAATTGATCATTAAAGCTAGGAAGGGGCAAGAGTTATAGAAAAGCCTAAAAATCTACCAAGATCTGTAATAATTCAAACAGATAAAAGCCAAATCTTAAGAAGAAACTTTAGTCATCTGCACAAGACACAAGCAGAAATAACCAGCAACAGAATAATAGTACCAGAAACTAAATACACAGATGAAGCAGCTGTACAACAGATTCCAGCACAAGCTCAATCATCGCCTGTTCCTTAGACACCCCCAGTATCAACATATCCATCACCAAGCAATTCCAATAATATACTAAAGTCAAACTTGGCTCAAGCAGCCACTGCAGCACGAGCATCAAGATTTGGTAGAATAATTAAACCCATAAATAAACTTGATCTTTAATATTATTTAAATTTATAATGATAATAATTAATAAGTACTGTAGTGCTGTGTCATGTATCTTAATTTATAATTATGTAATTACTATTACCTAATAATAACTTGTTTTATAAATTATAATATAAATTATATTAAAATAATATAAATTATAAATTGTCAGTAATATTGTAAAACCCTTAATTTGTAATAGAATTGTTTTTGTTTATTTATAAAGAAAGGGAGATGTAAAGTAGATACATCACTAATGTCATGTCACATCACTTTTGACATATCATTATATAGCGTCAATTCGTAAGAAAAATAAAACCGCTCATTTAATATCACCGACGCCGACGTTTTATTTAATAAATACAACGTTACAGGTATATCATGTTGCATCTCTTTCTACCTCGTAGGACTGTTGTAAAGGCATGATATCTCTTTTCCTCAATCTGTCAGTCTTATGTTTGTGATCATGGACTTATTAATGGTTGTGATTTATGTGTTTGTGATGCTGTTGTGGTTGTGATCATAGATTGATTTTAGGTTGTGTTAAGGTTGTGATCATATAATAAGTTCGTGGTCGTGTTGAACCAATGAACACAACACAACAGAAACAAAGCTTACTTCTTTGGTCATTGGACAAAGCACAGAATAATATCATATCGTGCACCACAGAACACAGAAACAGGTTAGAAGGGTCTTGTGGGTAGGGCAGGTGCGCCACAGTTATGTGTGAGCAAATGCTCATAACCAGACCAAAACTAGGTTCTGATTGCGTCGTTGCTCGCGGCTGTGAGCACTGATTGGTTCAATTGCTTAATGTCGCGTCGTTTTATTGGCTATTATCTATGAGTTGGAAGTGTAGCGGGCGCGAGCCCTTACAAACGGTCAATGATCACCCTTCTAACCCCTTTCTGTGGCGTGCACAGAAGAATCATAGCGTGCCGCTTCTATAGTCTGTGGTGTTTTTGAAGTATAATGTAATCTATGGTTTTTGATCTGTAATCTGTGGTATAAATGTGCATTAAAAAAAATTTAGCATAATATTTTTAGATGTAGAAAATTAAAGTGTCATAGAAATTATTTATTTTACTGAATATATTTAGACGCACAATAAAGGTAAATATTTTATTTATTCTATAAATATTGACTGTGTTTGTGTTGTGAAAGATATGATCGAGTAATCACTGAAAACTCGTTTGTAGGTTAGAAATAGTGCGATCTAATATGCAGAACAACCCCCAAGAGCTTTCATGGCAGGCGATACAGGCAATCGTGGGAGTTAAACTTCCTACGAATGTGTTACGTTTTGATGACATTGGCTTTCATTTAGTCAATAATTCGGTCTCGAGCGCCGAAGACTCGGATTCGGATGTAGAAATAGTAGAAAATGATTGGGAATCCGATAACAATGTATCCTCACGACAAGAACATTCAGACAATGAAAAAACGACATCTCCTGATCGGGAACAGAGCGAATCGCCTATTCTTCATCTCGTAGAGCCAGACAACAACAATACTGGAAAAGATTCTTTACTTTATACAGGAAAATATTTAGAGAAAATGGATTGCAAAGATGACATATCAGAGAAAGAACAAATTTCTCAAAGTCACATTGATGATACAGACAGTTCCAATGGCAATGTAATGTCTATTGAAAATTATTTAGAAGTAACTCTTTCTACTGAGTCGGAAACCAGTCACACATGCAGCCAGTGTAACCAAATATTTTCCAGTGAGCAAGCATTATCTTCTCATAACTGTGGTGCTAAGTTATTAGAGGATAAGAAATACCCCTGTCATGTTTGTTCTGAAAAATTCCCTAGCTATTGGGAGTTACGGAAGCATATAAATAGTCATTTCCCTGGTATGCTTGATTCCAAATCTAGTTTTTGCCACCTTTGTCAAAAGGATTACACCAAAACGGGATTTATGAACCATCTCCGTAAACACACTGGAGAAAGACCATTTGTTTGTGAACTATGTCACAAGGCATTCTCACAGTCGAGTTCTTTGTCAATACATATGAAATTTCACTTAAATGTGCGGAAACATGCTTGCACAGTTTGTGAGAAAAAATTTGTAACCAAAAGTGAACTGTCCCGTCACATGACCGTACACACAAAGCAAAAGTCTTATTACTGTGGAGTGTGTGATAAAGCTTTCACACGCTCTGACAATATGAAGAAACATGAAAAAACTCATGGATAATTTAGGTGTTTTATGTGAAGCACATCATCAGCAATTACACTAACATTTTTAGTAGTTATAAAATTATACATATGTTTTGAAGCTATTTTATATATAGGATGTTGTAAGTGAATAACCAAATTTTATAATAGTGTATTGTATATGATGCATTTCACATAGCATACGCTTAATGGAATCCTGACCTATTAGTACTTAAGCCATACAGTCAAAAGCTCATGCTAACACAAGCAATCGTATTCTATTTGCATGTAAATGTGGCTCAACTGTCAACAACTCCTTTACAGTATACAAAAAATGGTGACCACAGATGCCCCTGGTTTTAGGTAACTCAACATTGACCTAAGTACTAAAAGGTAAATATTTCATTAGGCATGTGATAACCAAGTTATCAAATTCTCTAATTGCCAAAAAAACTAGGTTTATTCTATAATAATTAGGTTTTGCATTACTTTATACCAAATTTGAAAATATCATGATCTAGTTCATAACTTAGTCACTATGGTGTGTTTATGTGAGTGTGAGGACACTCACAGTGTGCTGTATTTGCTTTTGAATTAGGATTATATTTATGCTATTTCTATTGCATGTTTGAGGTATATTAGTGTAATAGATAAATGCCTTTGCAGGTGCTCTACAGTAAGGTCACACATATCTCAATCCAAAGTTGCCTTTTAGATATGATAAGTCATATTTTTACAAGTGGATGTGAGTCAAATGTCCAAAGATTCCAATTGCCGTAATTGTAATGTTTACTTAAGATAGGGGAAATGCCTATTACTCATTTGAGGCCTTCTAATAAGTATGTTAAACTTACTTCCTACATTAATATAATATAAGCTTACAATTTGTTCCTGCTTTACATGAAAGCTTTAACAAATTTTTGATACTGTCACAACTACAGAGTTCTGTAGATATTATTTGCCAAATTTTAGATTAAGTGTTTCAAGTGATTCTTATTGTACTGTGTTGTAACCAAAGCAATAATAATGTTAACTTTGCCTATTTTACATAAGTATGTACACCAAATATATATTAAATAAATGGTTCTTGACATGAGCTCATAATAATGAATTAATTCATATTTTTACTATGAAATATTGAGGCACTATAATACATTTCCTGTCTTGATGCTCTCGTAAATGGTAAAGCCTTGACGAACAATATAATTTAGTGTTTAGGCAACTACTAATTAATTATACTTTCTATTATAAAGTTGCATAAAAAATCATCACAATAATGAAATTTCAGGCTTCAATGGAGTGATACTCTAAAGCCTGTATACCAAATATTTTTATATTGTAATTAATCCCAAAGATGATAATTTAATGTTGAATAGTTTTAATTGGCTAAACCAAAGTCTATATTTTTCAACTGTGCCACTTTCAATTTTATGTAGGAACTGGTTGTAAATAAACTTACAACTTATCTTGTTTTATGTTATATATAAGAATAGACAATAATCATATTTTAATATATTTATTTTAGTATTTAACTAATTAGATGTTAATTGCATGACTTGATTGTAGAATAAGAGTTTGATAATGAGCCAAATGAGAAAATTTACACAAAAATCTACAAGACTGACAATAATATTCAGAGTAGATGTAAACATGTGCACAAAACTTATTTATTTAATAATACATTGATAAAGAAATCAACTATGTAACTTTATCCAAAAATGCACCTTGTTAAAAACTCAACATGACAATTAGTGTACCTAAGAACCGTTTGATGAATAAAATATAAACCATGTATAATGGATTATGTATTTGATAAATGTCGATTTTATTAAAGAGTTGTTTGTTGCATATATATTTTATTTTATTTCTGAACTTAATTGTTCATTTTCCCTTTGTTCTAGGTTGAGCTAACGCTCGCGATGTCCGCCCGGTTACGTAATCTTAATCCGTATGAATTGCATAAATATCTCGTTAATGTATATTGTCTAAATACTAAAGGTTCTACAGGACTTATAAAACGCGACAATTCCAAAGATCGAACAGACCTAGACGTTATCCGGGAAAACCACAAGTTTCTCTGGGAGGAAGATGACGTTGTCGATTCCTGGGAAAAACAGTTGGCCAAGAAATATTACGATAAGCTCTTCAAAGAATATTGTATATGTGATTTAACGAGATACAAAGAAAACAAAGTAAGTTTCAATAAATATGTACTTACATTTATTTCATAATGAGCTACCGATTAAGGCTTTTGCTAAACACTTATTACAAAAACATCTTAAGTAGGCAGTTAGCTAATAAGATTTCCCATAATTTTATTTAAATAATTGAAGTTTGTAGACGTAAATTACACACTGCAGTACGAAAAATGATTTCGTTCATTTAGTTTACTAATAAGTACATAATTATATTTCTCATACATTCCCAGTTTAGAGAATTTGCTAGATACATAGCTTGTATAGATACCTAGTTAACTAGTATATAATGTAGTTGATATAAAACACTTATTAAAACCTAAAATGTGCTTTATGAATCATTTCAAATGATTTCCTTGGTAGATAATGCTGCACATTTAAGAACTGTATCGGTTTGAAAGTTCCAACGATTGTAGGGGAATAAGATAATAATTTCTGATGTAAATAACAATGACCCCTGATTTAAGGCGCAGATAGGGTGGAACCCCTATGTAACTCAATTGCCTTTTTTTACCCGCGAGACCTTCCTTTGTGCTATATTGGGGAGCGCAACGCATCACAAAGGCCGTAGTGCCTTTGTAGGCTAAATATAGAGCTACTGTATGCGCACGAGCGGGTATAGGTGCTGTATCGCACACATCTGCCAGTCGCCTATTCGATTCGGTACAAACGATGATGATAAATAACTGTATACTGTCTCATTCTAACACTAACTTGGATTATTTAACGTTGATGTTTCATGTAATACCTACCTATTAATAAATCGTAATGATAAACTTTGTATTAAATAGGTATCGTCAGACGTAGTTATACAGGGTTACAGGGAAAGTCGTACTGAATATTGAAGGACGTTATTATTCAGGTCATTTCTGATGGATTTGGTCCTATAATATGGTGTCCGAAACTTAACCGTTATGGAGATATTGGATATTAAAGATTTTTTTAAAAAATCCTATATTTATTGGGTTTTTGTCGATTTTTTTGAAACTAGAGCTCCAAAGGTCCGATTTTTTAATGTATCTAATTAGAAGACATGTCAAGCAATAAAAATAATGAATAAAAACTGAACCTACTTCTAACGGCTTAAAAAAACTGCTCGACAACGTTTATAACTAAAGAATTTTCACCAAGTGTTCTTAACTTTAAAGCTCTTTTCTAAAAAAAAAATGTTTGGAACTTATTCTGCAAATAATTTTAAAAACTTCTACGTCTCTTTAGCTATTCAAAAGGGTATAACACTTGCTATTAAATTGGCAAAACATTGACCAAATAACAGTTATGGTAGCAGAGGGTACATTTTTAGTTTGAGGTAAAAATAGCAAAAATACGTAAATAAAACCAGAAAAGCATCATCATCATCACCAGCCTATTAATGTCCCCATTGCTGAGGCACAGGCCTTCCCTATTGATGGAATAGGGAGATTGGGCCATGACCCACCACGCGGGCCCAGTGCGGATTGATGGGTGCTAACGACTGCAGATGCGGCCGGGACCAACGGCTTAACGTGCCTTCCGAAGCACGGAGGAGCTCGAGATAATAATTTTTGGTCACCCATCCAATGACCGACCACTGCGAAAGTTGCTTAAGTTCAACGATCGCATCATCTGGTCGTATACAAGGCTTTTCATTATTATGAGTTCTTTAATATTCAGTACGACTTTCCCTGTAACCCTGTATAAAGTTCCAAATCATAATATGTAAAGTTCCAAGGAGTAAAAGTATTAAATACTCATAGCAAAGATAATAATATCTTTGATCCTAAGGTAGGTACTTTCCGTTACTTAAACTTTAGAAAAATGACTTAATTTATCCCAAAAATTTTAAATCGCCGGCCCCACCTTTGACCTACGGGCCGAAGGATTCTCTATTACCGTTCGCAAAGCCAAAACATCTGCGCATCTTCAATGAGAGGCTTACAATGTGCATCCAGTTTTTATTTACCATGTTGGCCCACGGGCAGATGGTTGTAGTAAGGCAGATGACTAGCGGTAGGTAGTGCAGCAAAAACTTCGCAATTTAAATAACAAACGAAGTGGCATGGCGTGTGTAACGGTCTTCTATTCTAATGCTAGACCGCTCACAATTAACCTCGACGGTTTAATATTATTTTAGCGTTATAATATAGGGAATATTAATCGTAAAAAATATATAATTATGATAAAGGTTTTTTTTTCCGATATATTCAACCAGGTACAGGGAGTGTTGTTTTGAACTTATAACCAGTGCACATTATGTAACATACAGAAATCTGAATATGGAGATATAGTTAGTAGATACCGCTATACGCTATATCCCATACTTCTGCAAAGAAGAAAACTGTACTTACCTCAGCGCTTCGGATCCACATGATGTCCGAGCTAGATTCCTCCTCTTTTGAATAAACAAACCGTTTCTTTACTATTTACTGTGCAATTTTTACCAACATCTATACTATTATTATGAAGAGTAGGTATTGTTAAGAGATAAAGTTTGTACGAAGTCTTACCAGTAGAAAGATTTCTGACTTTATAAATAAATTACACTCCCGCAAATCCGAAACGGATGTGCTAGTGCTCGATTACCACTAAAATATTTCTAATTATTACTTAAGTCATCGAGCATGCATAGAGTCCTATTTAAAAGGAATCGATGCGTATATCTTTTGCAGAGATGATAAGGAACTTGAATGCTTTACGGGGGGGTGGGGGGGGGGGCTCATTTGGTTTAAACTTCTTCCCAAAAGATTAGTTATTTTTTAAATGCGTAAGTTATTAAAGCTCGATGGTAGATACTATTCCTCAACTGATGTAAAGAGTGAGAACGAAGTCCCAGTTGCGGATGCAGAAGATGTGCCGCTCCAGCCACCTTTACCTCGCTAACCTGTAGCTACCCGAAGCACTAACAACTACCGTGAAAGTATTCCTATCACCATGTCAGTTTCTAAGGAAGAAGCTTGTTTGTTTTTAACGTCCGGTAGGACACTGCTTAATTTCCGTAGTAACTGGCGTTGGCGATGCGAATTCTGATCCGTCAAAGCTCGTGCTTGGAGTAGGTACAAGAAAAACACTGGAACCCATTCACCTACCCAGTGTAGTCCTTCCTCACCGACACAACGGAAATACAACATCAGCATAATGGAGTGACTATTTCACTGTGGTTCCTGTAGGTATTGGTTATTTCAACAGATAGGAGCTAGCAATTCTGTCTTAAATGTATGAAGCTGAAACTAACAGACATTGTAACAGACACATCCAGCAGCGGGACCGTCACAAAATGTATTTTTGACAACTGTTTTGGTTTTTCTTTTTATTTAAATAGCCTGCGCAGACGAAGGGCTTTTGTCCGCGGTATTTTTTGTACGCCGAAATAGATCGCTTACAACTACATCAAGTAACACACACGATGCATTAAAATTCCTCCGAACCACCGAGAGACCGGTAAGAACAAGAGTACGCGGGTGTCGCCAAAAAAATTTAATTCCCTGCTAGGTAGTTCTAGCTTCATATCAAACGTTAATAGGTAGGTACCTACTTATTATTCTGTGTTTGTACTTATGACAAATAAAATATAGGTTGCGCTGCGATGGCGTATCGAAAAAGAAGTTGTTCTCGGCAAAGGTCAATTTCAATGCGGCAACAAACACTGCAACTGCGACAACGAGCTGAAATCTTGGGAAGTTAATTTCGCTTACTTAGAAGACAATCAGAAAAGGAATGCACTTATAAAGCTTCGTGAGTACCAACTACTCTCATAAAACGTGAATCTATACATATGTATACGTAAAATTGAGTTCATCAAAAAGTATGTAAGCTTGGTACGGTAATTGGACTGTCGAACCACATACAGCGTATATAGCGCGAAGCTTCTGACAGAATAAAAAACATACAAAACCACATTCGCATTTTTTTTCGCAATTAATTGTTAATTAGAAATCGTCATGAATGAGTTTTCTGTATTTACTGCATGGAAACGTTCAATTGTTTACGTGCCACACCTTGAGGCACAAAATTCATATTAAATTACAAAATGTCCACAGGTTTATGTCCGGAATGTTCAGATAAATTAAACTATAGATCAAAGAAACGTGAAGTTAAAAGGCTGAAGAAGAAAAGGAAATCAAACAAAAAGAGTGGTGACGACGAAGATGTTCCTTATGATGAAGAGCCTATTGATTGTGAACCTCACACTCCTGAAGAAGAGACGACAGAACAACCTTCCACCAGCTCCTCTTGTGACCTGACAGAGGGTACTGAGGAAGGCGCAGCATTGTGGAAAAAAGGTTTGAGTAAATTTTGTTTAGGCACATACCATACCTACACTTATTTCTTACCCTACCCAAAGGAAAGGGGAGCTTAGCTGTTTAGTTAATCACACTTATATTATAAAGGCGAATGTTTGTAAGTGTGCGAGTGTGAATTAACGGCTGGAGCGATTTTAATAAAATTTGGTATGGAGTTAGCAGACACCCTGGATTAACACATAGGTTAGGTTTTACTGCGCGAAAATATCCCTAATAAACCGCGGGTAACACCGCGGGGCACAGCTAGTAAGAAATATGTTAGAGTGAGGCCACAACATTGCGTTGCGTTATCTCGCATCGCAAAAAAGACGTACAATCGAAAACGATGCGATCACGCAACGCAAACAATTTAATTACAACGGCCGGCGGCATCTCATACGTTGCTCTAATTTCAAAGTAAGCATTTGTGACAACTATGGACTTTAAGACCCCTTTTACAAAATTGCGCCGCTGCCGTACTGATCGGCGCGTAGGTAGATTTGCACTAGTATATATTGCATTTTACGGATGATGTTTCGGATCTTATAAAATAATTATTAATTAACTAATTACAAAAATATATACATACTTCAGTAGTTCAATGATGGTATATTAGTTTTATGAAAGTTTTTATGTTTTTAAAAACACTCATATTTAAACAAATAATGTTCCAGCACCACAAGATACAGAGGAAAAGACACGCGAGGAGGAGTTCGAAGAATACTTAGAAGATTTATTGTTGTAAATAAATAAAATAATTTATTAAAATTTTTTATTTAAATAATATACATAATAACTAATATTCGTGTGTAATCAATCAGATAAAAAATAGCATAACTGCAGATTCCAAAAAATCACAATATTTACTTGGTAAATAATTTTGTACCTATATGTACCGAAAATCAAAATAGTTTACAAAACACAATATAAGTGTATAATCAACATTCTATATATACTCTAATATTTTTTTAAAGTTATGACTAATTCATTGAGTTTTCACTGTGATAGAGACTAGATCAAATAAAAACAATAGTCACATTTTCATGTCAGATAAAATAATAATGCATTAATATAAACGAGCGCCAGATCGATTTTAATTTTCTTAAATTATAAATAAATGAAAGATAAGTTTCAGAATAACAGCACAAATGAAAACTCCATGTTAGAACTAATATGACTGATTTGTAAAATAAAATTTTCAATGTTACAACAAAACAAATTATATTAAGTAGCATACTTATATCATTTAAGTAATATTATATACATAATCTTTAAGCTACATAATCATTTCAGTTAAAAAGAAACTAAAAATGCTATTAATTTCTTCACTCAACGTTTTATTTTCTCACTTCAATTATGATTAGCTCTTGGAGACTCTTATTTTCATTCAGTTTACTAGATTTCGCAATCAAATAATCTATTTAACTTTGTCAGACTTACTTATTTTCAATTAATTTTCTATCTCTTTATTACATCACAATAACATTTTAGACATATACAACAAGTATAATAAAAATCAACTTATATTCAAAACTTTTTAAAATAATGAGATAATTTCAAAGTAATAAGTATTATAGTGATATTCGAAAATTGTGCACCCAAAGTGACAAAACAAGTGGAGGTATATAAACATAACGCAATCACTACACGTTAAAGTTACTACCCTGATTGGTGTATTAATAAGTGTCATACTATTCAAACACAACCAAGCAAATACTTATAACGTGTCCTATCTACTTACAAAGAGCACGGAAAACAGTCTCATTGACGTATGAGCTTACATATAATTATAGTGATAACCTGAATGCTTTAACACTTTTCGCATGATTACCTACGCAAATCACAGAATTTAATCCACACGAAAAAAAACTAAATTCGGAAGACCCAAGCTTCATAACTTTTGGGCTGTTTTCTCGGGTTTAAAGACACAGTAATAAATAACATCAATTAAAAGATAAATACCAAAACCAAAATGTTATATATAATTATTCATACTGAATAGAAAATTGAATCACAAATTCGCAAACAGTACCGCTTATTAAAAAAAACTAAGTATTCGTTTTTACGAATAATTAATATCGATTATCGCCATAAGTAGAATTGATTATATTTCAATATTATTGATCATTTGTTCCACGGTGACCCCCGGGAGTAGCAAATCTTGTCATATTATTATATCGGAATAAACCCCCGTTCACACGAGCGCTTTTTCTACGCGCGTTCAATCACAATGTTTGCTCGTTTATCGTTCGCAATATAATTGACATTAAACAAACAGAGCCTAAAATAAATAGCTGCTCGATAAAAAAAAACGCTCGTGCGTACGTTTAGTACACCCATTGGTTTCGCTTCAGATCTTTTTAAGCAACTTAGAAAAAAAACTCTCAAATCATCAAATCGATACAGATAATTATGTTGGTGGTTAATTTATTTAGTTTGCGCCATTTTGGCGACATCCTCGTCATCGGAACAGTCTTCGTCGTGCGTGTGTGTGAGTTGACGCGGCGTTTCTGGCCGTGCGTGTGGTACTGACGTCTAAACAATAAAGTTATCGTAAAAATCTCGTATAAAAATCACTGACCAACCAACGGCCAGTTTTAATAACCAAACTCCGTAAGAGCCTAGCCTAAAAACCTAGTACTAAGTCTATTAGAAATAGGGTTACCAACTATTTTTCTATGAAATATAGTATTTACGAAGCATTACTTCAAAAATATAGTAGCTGGCAAAAAAATTAAAAAATTATAGTATGTGGTTAAAATATTTACTTTATTTTTGAAATAGATATATTTTTGCTGCTCTTTGACTTACTAATAATATAATAATAATTTTAAAGAAAGCTTTTACTCTCAAAAATATGCTTTAAGCAAAATATAGTAGTTTCGCCTAGTATATATTATGTTTAGAAATATACTTGATCCCCTACTATAGTAGGATACTATATTATATAGTAGGGCAACCCTAATTAGAAACGTAACCAGAAAATCATTACTCTTTACTGGAGGTTGATTTTTATTGAAACTGACCGTAAATTAAAAGTGTTACAGAGATATAATAACTAACGGTGCGGGTTGCCTACGATCGTGAAAATTAACAAACTTTCGCAATGGTCGGTAATTGGATGGGTGACCAAAAACATATTATGTCGAGCTTCGGAAGGCACGCTAAGCAGTTGGTCCTGGCTGCATCTTCAGACAGTAGCACCCACCAACCCGCACACATCCATAGGAAAGGCCAGTACCCTTAGTACGAGTTTTACAATTACGAAAACTATGATAGTTTTCGTGCTCGCACTCGTACTAAGGTACTGTACCCCTGCAGTGGAGATATTGATAGGCTAATAAATAAATAAATATTTCCCACACTCATACTTATTAGCCTAGCCCATAAGTAAGCAATGTAAGGCTTGTTTTATGGGATGCGAGGGTAACGGATGGAACACATATATAAGTACGTATATCTTATGTGTAGTATCTATACGTTTATTTTATCCAGAAATTTATATAAATACCCATGATTTAGGTTCAAATGCTCTATCTAGTATTCATCATACTAACATTTGCCCTCACCGGGATTCGAACCCGTGATCTCTAAATAGGCGGCGCCATGAAACCCGTCGTATATACCACTCGGCCACGGAAGTCGTCGCACATTGTGTTATTTCACCTCAAAATTACCACTCCCTTAATTAAAGGTGAATCAGATAAAGCTCTTCATTCTAAGCGCAAGAGTAAAACTCCCACGATTCTAACTATAATAGTTTCGACGAAATCCCGGTTTTTCTTTTTTTGTACCACATTGTGAAAAAGAAATTAAAAAAAAAAATTGTCTAAACTATTACAGTTATTTTATTTTTTACGTTGTATTTCAAAAGGTATTATTTTTATCCATATTATGAGTCTTCTATGGCTGCCCTAGAGCTTGTAGGAACCGAGAAATCGGCGATTTAGTGATTTTCGTTTTTAATTTTTTGTGCTCATGTTATGCAATATTAAAGCTTATAATTTAGTTCAAAATGTAGCTAATAATGTAGACCATCAACTCAAAAAATAACAAGCTTTAACTCGGTGGTATATCGGAAATATTAAGAATTTAAATTTGTGGGACAATGTCCCACATTTTGAAGACTTAATTTTGAAAACGTAGTTATGCTACTTTTTAAATATTATACTATAATAACTATATAAATACGTTGTTATTATATTATTTACTATTTATATAAGATTATAAATGTGTTTGGTATGTTTGTTACATAATCATCCACTTTTGTGGGCCAACTTGTTTGGATGAAATGTGGCACACAGGCATTAAGTTCTTCCCTATTAAGTGCAAATAAACAAATAAATCTGTTTAAACATTATCTGTCGTAAACACACTGTCTTCGTTATGAAGAACAGTTATGAATTCATTTTCTTCACTTTCTATGCATGCAGTTTCGTCGTCGACATCACTGTTATCGTCATATAAACATCCCGAACTGTCCGGTTTTAATAAATTTATTATTAAAACCGGATTACAAAAAGTACCGAATTTTTGGGCGTCTATTTTCTCGTCTTTTTGTAAAAATATAGCTAAAAAATACGTAGAAAACTACAACTGGCACCCTATGACTACTACCCTTCACAAAATCCTAATTCACGGAGAGAAAATTATAGAGAATTCAGCGCTACCCATTGGACTACTCTCCGAACAGGCAGGAGAATCCAGGAACAAGTTTTGGCGTCAGGACAGAGAACATCACAGCCGGAAAGATTCTAGGGTTCATACCATGACCGACTTATTTCACAGGGCGCTCGAGTCATCCGACCCTGTGATATTGGCTATACGGCTAAAACATCGTGAAAATAACCGAATGAGAATGCCACTGCCACAGGCTGTAATAAATTTATTAAAACCGGACAGTTCGGGATGTTTATATGCCGATAACAGTGATGTCGACGACGAAACTGCATGCATAGTGTACGGTTCAATAAACCGCACAATATAATTTATTTTACATTTTATATTTTGCAGCATTGCATTTTTACTTTAGTGTGTCGAATCTAGAACGCGACACATCAGTTTACGTTTCAACCGCGACTCATAAACTCCATACACTATTTCATTAGTCAAATAAGTTTCGTGTGCCAATAAACGGTATCTCTGTAAAATCCATTTTCTTTTCTTGTACGTACACACATCCCGTACAAACTGGTCCTTCGAGTCTCCGAAGGCGGGACCAAATTTGTGTGATCAAGTGCTTGGTTAAGCCGTGTGAGTGTTTGAAATCAGGACACCACTCTGCCACGTCGAGTTACGTAAGTCACAAGTCCGGTCTTTGGTGAGTTATCTATTGCTTTCAAGTTATTTTACAAACATGGAAGAACTTTTGAGTAATCAGAACCGCATCATGGAAACTATGAACACTCTTCTCGTTAATTTCAAGAAAGATGGGTCCGAGCGCAAAACTCTAACTTATCTCAAAAATCGACTGAGCACGTTAGAAGGTTACTGGCATGAATTTCAATGTAACCACATCAAACTCTGTGAGTATGACGACAAATCCCACGAATATTTCACGAGCAATGAATACAAACGAATATCAGAATTTTACATTGATACACGAGCACACATACAAACATACTTGCCCTCTGGTACACAAACGGAGGGAAAACAGCTTCTGCGTACGGCTACACCATTAGCTAGCGAAGGGCGAGAAACGTTTTCTCGAATCGCATCACCCGCAGAACAGCAGGCAAAAGGTCCATTTGAGCTTCAAACTAAGCGCAGCAGCACCGACCGGGGAACCAGCAGCAAGCTGGACGAGATGCTCCGCAAGCAAAAGAGCAACTTCAAGGCGTTCTCCAGGACGGTCAGTAATATCAACCTTGATAATATCTCCGACAGGTGGGAGTTCGAGGATGTGTTAAGATCTGTGCAAGCGAGATGGTCCGTCATAGATTCCCTACATTGGGAAATAGATAGCGAGCTCTACGAAGACACAGAGTACGAGCAAGCCTTTGGTAGGTACGAACAGCAGTTCAACGACATCAAGAGAAATATCAACTCCAAAATGTGGAATCAATGTCATCGAGAAAAATCGACTCCACAGATGGACATACCTATTTTTACTGGAAACTATCATCAGTGGGTGTCCTTCAAGGATTTATTCGTAGAAGCGATACATAATAACCGCTCCTTATCGAACGCCCAAAAATTACAGTTTCTCAAGAGTAAACTTCGAGGTGAAGCAGAAAAGTTGGTGCAACATTTACCAATCACATCCGAAAATTATGAGGTGAGTTGGGATATACTGAATCGCAGGTACAATAATGCGAAGCTTATATTCAATAGCCATGTCAGCATCTTACTAAACTTACCTTCCATACAACTACAATCAGCGGCAACCATAAAAAAGGTATTTGATAACACCAACGAGTGTCTTAACGCAATACAAGCGCTCGGTGTCGACATAAGTACTTGGGATCCATTAATAGTTTATATCATTTCAAATAAACTGGATGCCGACACCCACACTGATTATATTGAATCATTGAAAAATCCTAGGGACTTACCTAAATTGACGGACTTATTGCAGTTCCTAGAAAATAAATTTACATCCCTAGAAGCATCTCGACGCAAACCAGAGTCATCAAAGCCTCTAAATCAGCAGGATCCAGTGAGTAATTCTAAGAAAATTCATTATTTCAAATCGTTCACTAGCCGACAAAATCAATCGAGTCAGAAAAGCAGTAATAAATTGACCCAAAAATATATGAAGTGTGTAGTATGCAATAAAGATAGAGATCACGCCATTTACAATTGCGAAACATTTTTAGGTATGCAACCGCAAATGAGACAAGACATAGTTAAGAAGTTGTCACTATGCACAAATTGCCTACATTTCCATCGCAACGGAAAATGCTTCACCAACAAAAAATGCCGCGAGTGCGATGAGAGCCACAATACATTACTCCATGGCGCTAACATGTTTGTAGGTACGGACAAAACTCGAACGTCATCACAACAACGTGACGCACACAATCAGTCGAGTCAATTAAAAACAAATGTACTGCAAGGACAGGTAGGTGAAATATTACTGGCAACAGCATTAGTCCAAGTGACCAAACCTGATGGATCTCGACAAAATATGAGGGCACTAGTTGACCAGGGGTCTCAAGTATCCTTGATTACCGAATCAGCAGCACAACTTTTAGGCTTCAAACGTCAGGGTTGCAGAGCAATAGTGTTCGGGGTTGGTTCCAAAGAAAATAAATGTAATGGTATGATTTCACTTCCGTTATGCTCACTTTACAATGATTATACTTTTGACGTCAATGTTTTTGTTACGAAGCGGCTAGTAAATAAATTACCAAATAAATCATTTTTAAAACCAAATTGGCCACACATTGAAAATATACAACTAGCTGATCCTGAGTTCTTCAAAAGCAGCTCGATAGATATGTTGTTGGGAGCAGACGTGTACTCCGCGATCATTTTAAGCGGCATCATAAAAGAAAACGATACCATGCCTATAGCGCAACAAACTCGCTTAG